TAGTAATAATCTGAACCTTCTTCCTCTTCTATATAACTTCCTAATTCTTAAATAAAAATATGATAAATTTGATGACTTTTATCACATTTGATAAATAGGATAAAAATATGATAATGTCCCAAATAGAGCATTATGAATTTAAGTATTGTATGCAGATATGCTGTCTGTGCTAATAAGAAATTTGCAATAAATAACCTGATGGAACAAGATTCTTAAAATTCATTGAGCTGAAGTAGAATGTGTCTTTTGGCAGTTATACATTTATGATATAATCCCATCATGAATGGTATGGTGAACATCAGGCTAAGTGTTTCCTGGGTACAGAAAAAAAATCAAACCAGAATAACAAAGCCTAGTTAATTGTAGTAGTTTCTAAACTGAGATTTTCGTTTACCTTTGCTTCATTTGAAGTTTATTTAATTTGCATTCACTAATGTAGATACTGGCAATTATTTTTATAACTATCTTTTAGAATGTTATTTATGGTGCAAGCTTAAGTTTTTGAATAATACTATAGGCAGTATTCTGATTTGGATTTTTTTTTAAGATATGTTTCGAGCTTAATTTGAATTCTCTCGTCCCCGCTCCCTTCTCTTTTTATTTGTTATGCCTTCTTTCTCTAGGAAGCTGCATTGAGGCGTGAGCAAAAGAAGTTGGAAAAGAAGCAAATGAAAATGAAACAAATCAAAGTGAAAGCCATGTAAAGCCATCCCAGAGATTTGAGTTCTGATGCCACCTGTAAGCTCTGAATTCATAGGAAACATGAAAAACGCTAGTCCATTTCTCAACCTTAAATTTCAGACAGTCTTGGGCAACTGAGAAATCCTTATTTCATCATCTACTCTGTTTGGGGTTTGGAGTTTTACAGAGGTTGTAGATAACCTTGAAAGGGCTCTGTTTCAAGAATTTGTTTTCCAGATAATCAAATTATTTTGATTATTTTATAAAAGGAATGATCTATGAAATCTGTGTTTTTAAGTATTTTAAAAATTATAATACGAATCATCAGTGCTTTTAGTACTTCAGCGTTTGAAGAAATACCATGAAATTTATAGGTAGATAACCAGATTGTTGCTTTTTGTTTAAACCAAGCAGTTGAAATGGCTATAAAGACTGACTCTAAAACAAGATTCTGCAAATAATGATTGGAATTGCACAATAAACATTGCTTGATGTTTTCTTGTATGTCTACATTAAACTTGAGAAAAAGTAAAAATTAGAACACTGTATGTGGTAATGAAATTTCAGGGACCCAGAACATAATGTAGTGTATGTTTTTAGGTGGGAGATGCTGATAACAGAATTAATAGGAAGTCCGTAGGCAGTAGGATACTGACATGTACATGGAAAATTCCAGGGACGGGAATTTCTAGGAACAGGAGCATCGTTTTTTCCTTACCTGATACCACAAACCAGTGACAACGTGAATGCTGTATTTTAAGTGGTTGTATGTTTATTTTTTTGAGTAACAAATGCATGAAAAATTAATGCTTCACCTAGGTAAGATCATTGGTCTACGTGAAGTCACAAATGTTTTTTCCTTCTTGGTTGCTGCAGCCTGGTGGATGTTCATGGAGAAGCTCTGTTCTCTGTATTATGGCTGTGTGCCTTTGCTTCTCCCTCTGCTTTTATTTTTTCCATAGTTGAGGCTGGGTATGTTCTTTCAAAGAAATGGCCATGAATATGTATAAGTATACTTTTGAAAATGAGCTTTCCTAAACTATTGAGAGTTCTTCCCGCCTCTTGCCGAAGCAACTCTTGGAGGAGAGGCCCATGTATCTGCACGAGCACTTCGCTTGTTCAGATGTCTGCATTTTATAAATGCTTCTTACTAAGAAAGCATTTTTTAGGTCATTGCTTGTACCAGGTAATTTTTGCCGGGGATGGGTAAGGGTTGGGTTTTCTGGTGGGAGTGGGGTGGTGGGTATTTTTTGTTCATGCTTTAGTGCAGGCCTGTTCTGAGGCAATAACAACAAGTTGCTGTGAAAACAGCATGTGCTGCTGCCTTTGTAACTGCATGGAAACTTTTCACATGGGTTTTTCTCCAGGTTAATACAGAAATATGTAAACTGAGAGATGCAAATGTAATATTTTTAACAGTTCACGAAGTTAAGTTATTAAAATAACAAAAATAACATAAAACTTAATTACTTTAATATTATATAATTGTAGTATTAGCCTTGTTTTACAAACCTTTAAAATACATTTTAGAAATCAAAGTTGATAGTCTTAGTTATCTTTTGAGTAAGAAAAGCTTTCCTAAAGTCCCATATGTTTGGACCATGGCAGCTAATTTTGTAATTTAAGCATTCATATGAACTACCTATGGACATATATTAAAGTGATTGACAAAATCTCAGCGTGCCGCCTTGACTTTCTGGAGTTATCCTACAAGAGTATAAGCTCAGAGGAAAGTTATTTCTGTTCAATAAAAGTCAGCACTGAAGTGCTTTTCTTTCAAAAGAGTTAATCTGAATATTGCTTTTGTTGTTACCAGTCATTTTTAAAACATTTTATATTTTTAGAGCCCCATATGTTATTTATGGGCTCCTCCCTGCAGTCCACCTCTTGAGTTAAGACTCCATTAGCTCTCCTGTGAATGCGAGGACAAAGAGAGGAGGATGTTGTTTAGTGTCACACACTGGAAAACCACTAAGTCTCCAATCTCGTTTGCATTGCCTGGATGTTTAGCAATGCCAAAATAAGTACTGGACTGTAAGACAAAGACCTGGCTTTTAGTGCCAGCAGAACTAATTACTAATCCTTTGACTTTGGGCAAGTTATTAACCTAATGTGAAGTGAGGATACTAATTATATGCTCTGCCTACTTCACAGGTAGTTGAACACTAAGAGATAATATTATATATGTAAGATTGTTTTGTAAACTGTTTAAGCACTTTGCAAGTATAAGGCATCATCTAGGCCGGGCGCGGTGGCTCAAGCCTGTAATCCCAGCACTTTGGGAGGCCGAGACGGGCGGATCACGAGGTCAGGAGATCGAGACGCGATTCCTGGCTAACACGCGTGAACCACCCCGTCTCTATTAAAAAAATACAAAAAAACTAGGGGGCGAAGTGGGGGCGCCTGTAGTTCCCAGTACTCGGGAGGCTTAGGCAGGAGGAATTGGCGTGGGAACCCGGGAGTGCGGAGCTTTGCAGTGAGCTGAGATTTCCCGGCCACTGCACTCCAGCCAGGCGGCAG